CGCACCACTACCGTACCACAGTGATTTCTCATAAATAATGGCGCTGTCGCGTCGCCATGGACATCTCTGGTATATACCACAAATTTTCATTACATGATATTTAGTTCCTGGTATTTTGTACCTAAACAAAAATAAGAGAAGTCAAATATAAGACAAAATTTGTGTGTGGATGTATGCTTCGATGAGGAGAGGATTCCACATTCACACTCTTTCTTGAGAAATAAATAATGTAAAAGGTATAATGGGCAAACTTGCTTATCAAAGATACTGCCAGCAAACGGTTATATTATAGTATGATAGAGAATTTTTTTTATTAATGAAAGTAGTATTACTTTTACCGCTAGGAAACGCTTACAATGTATGAAAACGAGATACAAGTGAAACTTTCAAAGAGAAAAACTCAGTGCCGTAACGTGCTTGATGCTGATGTTATTTTTAATTACATATTTGTCTTACTACTGCTTGGCATGATAAAGCATTTGACGCATGATGCTTTGCGAAGATTCAACTTGTTTTATCTTAAACATTTGTACACTCTCCAAAGATAAGCCGAAGCAAAACAGCAAGAAAAAATACATACTCAATAATAAGTTTTGGGTCATAATATCAGATCATATGAATGCATAGGCTTAAAAAATCTCTTCGGATATTATTCATTTGATAAGAGAAAAGTTATGAATAGGTAAGAATAAAATTTTATAAAATAAAAATTTTTAATGAGAGTGTTGAAAATTTTTTTTGAATCAATGACTCGGCCTCGCCAATCCTAGTTGAACTTATTAATCACGATTTGAATTTATATTGACACCAGAAAAGTTTCTTCGTAAAAGAAGAAAAGCTTAAAAGAATTGTAGTTGATAAGCCAAGTTATAACTGTTTTACCGAAATTTCGACTTGCAAGTGTCCATAGACATAAGTCAGATGACCCTCGGAATATTTTGAAAGTTTCAGCTGAAAAAAAAAACGTCTATTTATCGAGATATTACATTTCCAAATGAATTTGCTTTTGGTCATATTTTTATGGCCAGTATCTATTTATTGCGAATTTAATATCTCGGTGAATAAATATTTTCTTTTTCGCTGCAGATTTCAGCTTATTCGAAACGTTATTAAATCGATCAATGGAAGAAATTACACGTCGAAATTTGGTTATTTTATTTTTGAAAAAATACTAACAGATGGATCAAAAATTTAGTAAATAGGCTCATGGACACGATTCCTTGTCACGCCTTTTCTAGTCTTAGTGAGTTTTTGTTCTTGGCCTAATATGAGTTCAAATAATGTAGATCAGTTTATGTAGTTCCATCTTGGGATAAAAAAAGCCTTTTAAATATATGTTTTGTGTATGTTTAGATGTACCAGAAGAATTTAGAATCTCAGCAGGTAAGTTAATTTTTTTTAACTTAAAGAAAAACCAGCATGATTGGTTTCAGATGATAGATATTCAAAGCATATCAATCATGATTTTATGGATACAATGCCATTTGAGGATGTGGATGTGGAAGTGAATTTAGATTACTTCGACATCCACTCAGACCCACACCCACACCCTCGTCATAGTGCAACCATGTCCATATAAAAAAATTAAATATATTCTAGATTATTTGAATCAACCACGTATTATACATTTTGACAAAATGCTTAGAAAGAATACTTGAGACTATATAAAAAAAACAACAGTGAAAGATGATTATACTGTGTATTTTCTTAATTATTCAATAATTGTCTGTTCCTTAGGTGTGCTCATTGTCATTCTTCAAAGATTGCGTGTTTCTGTTTTTTCTTGTCATAACACTTGTCAGAATAGAAAAAGGTATGTTGATTGCGTTATCTAAAAGACAATGATACAGTAAAATCTTGAATAGAAAATTTTTCAACAGACCCCTGCCGTTTATACTTGTTGATGCCAATTGATTATTGATGGTTTCTTCAGGATTTGAAACGCAGGAAATCTTGATCGCATTCTCCCAATTAATATTTTGTATTTGAATGACAACATTTCTAGGCATTTGAAGAAATTTAGAAATATCTTTTTCGAGCTCTTCTAATTGTTTTTTCCATCCTTCAAGATCAGTTTCAACAAAGTTCTCTAAACCCTGTTGCTCTTTTAGTTCCTTGGTTAATTCATCGAATTTTTTTTTAATTGATCAGTCGTATTTACTTCCTTAAAAAATTCTTCGATTTTTGCTCGAGCGTTGTCAGCTACTTGATAACAGGTCTCAATTGCTTTTGCCTGCCATTCATCTATCTGTTTTAGTAGAACTTGTACATTATCATTATCCATTGGATTCAATAAACGATGCATATTCGCTTGAAAATTATTTAGAATTCCATCATGTCGAGCAATGACATTGTCAAAATCGTGTCCAAGGTTTTCTCGATGCTCATCAAAATGTTTACGACAAAAATTGAAAGCACATCCATGACATGAGGTGATCGCCACCATTTGTTTTGGCGAACAGGTGTTGCACATAGGTTTTCCAGCTCTAGAATAGATCACATAATAAACAAGATCGAATGGCAGAGAAGCGGTGAATGAGAAAAAGGAAAACCTGGAGATAGTCTCTGATGATGACGAAGTGCCTATCGATTTTGGTGTTTTCTGATGTAAAATACAAGTGGCAAGAGTAGCGAATACTTGTTCGATATTAGACGAATTGAGTGCTGATGTTTCCATGTAGGATAGATTGAGTTGTTTGGCAAGTACTGTAGCTTGTTCAAATGTTATTTTGCGTTGAGCAACTAAATCGGATTTATTACCGACTAAAACGATAAACGAATCAGCTGGTGCAAATTTATGAGCTTCATCGATCCATTGACCAATATTATTGAATGATGTAGGATTGGTCAAATCGAAGATCGCCAAAGCACCTTTCATGCCACGATAATATGCTGCTTTAATCCCTCTATAACGTTCTATTCCTGCTTTATCCTATAGTAGACCAATAATATCTAAGCGATGGGGACGGACAAACCTACCCACACTTGCATCTTGATTCTTTTATCATTGATGATAAGTTGTCTGCTGGAAAATTCTACCCCTATCGTTGGCCTAGTATCGATAGGAAACTCATCGAAAGAGAAACGTTGCAGAAGACTGCTCTAAAACAAAATCATTTGTTCAATTATATTCGAAGATGCGAATTAAATTTTGTGCTGTTCACTTTGCCGACATTGGAATCACCGATGAGAACCAATTTGTATAAGAAATCGTAACAATCTCCGTTGGAAATATTTTTCGCCATAATGGCTTTTCTAAAATCGAAACTGGGGATGTTTTGAAAGTGAATATGCGTGTTACAAAGCAAAAAAAAGGGGATAAAAAGCATATATTTCACATTACTCTTTCCAATCTCTGTTATCAGATAAAGTTTGATGTTAAGATAATGGTAACAAGAATATGAGAGAAGCGAAAAATAAAGAGAAGACATGTCAATCTAGATAATGGTCTTTTGAAATCGACTTCATATGAGAAAATATCCAATATTTCATTACTGACGAAAATCCTAATGTAAATTGAATAGTTCACTTACCTCGGGCGAATTTTTATTACAAAGTGCATGTTATCGTTTATCAAACAAGATCTGTACTATTTTCTGGCAAATTGAAGTGCTATTATTCGCCATTGTCAAACACCTGTAAGCTATAAATTCTGAAACAGCAACTTAACTCACTGAAAAATATATTGCTCTGACTGCGAAATCTCAAAATGAGAATTTTCGTCATTAAAGCCATTCGATAATCAACTTTCCTGCGTAGATTTAGTAATCTTAACGGTTGTATAAAACACTCTGCATGGATAAATATTCAAATACGTTGAGTCTTGATGACATGCGTTATCAAATTACAAGAATCGTGAAGTCATCATCACAGAGAAGTACCGAGTCAGACAAGCGTTGAAAAAAACGACGTTTTTACGCGTTAAAAAAAAATATTTTTTCTTTTTAAAAATGAATTTCATAACCTTAATATTTACAAACTTGCTTTTTCTTCAAAAAAAATGTTTTTTAACGCGTAAAAATGTGCGCTTTTTACGCGTAAAAACGTCGTTTTTTTCAACGCTTGTTTGACTGGGTAATTTTGAAAAAAATCATGTGAGTGTAAATATGAGCGTGTAGGAGTGGTTGTGGGTGTGAAGATGATCATGTAGCCCACACCCACCCACACCCCGATTTTTTCTATGAGTTGAAATAATAAGTAAGCAACGTTTTTTGATTTCTCAAAAGAATCTACTTTTATGTGTCTGTTCTTAATGCAAAATAGACTTTTTACTTGAAACGCCTCGATGAACAGTGTCCATAATTACGATGGATGAGGGTCTTCTCGTCACTCACCCATTCGCTTGCTCCGTGACAAAACGTACGTAACTCGGCGAGATCAACGACTAATATAAGTGTTTTCAAATGGCAGTCATATTTCGTTTTCAAGGTATTTTTGAAAATCAAATGAAGGCCGAGCATAACTAGGCGTGTTATACTGTCTTTGAACTTTCAATAATCAAACATTGATCTTAAGTAACGTCTTGTGATTGACATGAAGTACGAGCGCTTTACTTCATCAGCAAGCGCAGGCAATCTTGATGAAATGCTTCAATAGTTTGATTTATAATTTGGATGAAACCTGCTTCATAAGCTGTTTTTAAAGATTACATCGATGAATACCGAACTGGAAGAGAAAAATATAACGAGACAATCAAATACATATTGTACTAATAATCAATAGAGAATGATTTTCTAACATCAATATATGTGGAAATGTCTCGTCAATCGACAAGATTTTCGATCTGTTCATGTAATATGTCGTAGTCCTAATTTGAACGTTTAAGGCAATGCTCACGAGACTTGATAGCAAAACTATACATTTTAATCGTATTATGGGAAAACTTTACTGAAACATCTTATCTCACAGCGTTGATTGTCGCAATAGAGCTACCACACTCTTTTGATGTTCGTCTCTTATATGTAACAAGTTGAAGTAGTCAACAGTATTTCATATAAGAAAAATCGTTGTTTAATTGGTCTTGCCAAAAAATTGGACTTTAATCGAAAGGAAAATAGCTATATAAAAAGATGATCTTGAGGTTGTGGATGGGCAAAGAGCGCACCCAAAGCCACACTCGCACTTTATTCGTGGTCATTTGAATTTCCGTATGAAAATGACGTGTTTCAAGTATAAATATGTCTTTCAATAGCATGGATAACATTCCATTTTTCATTCATTTTAGAATAATTTAAATAAATAAAACGAGGATAATTCGAATTATCTGAATTAACCTTCATAAAAAAAATCTATTTCTTTAACGAAACTCTTTGTTTCATCCACTGAATGCGATATTTTTGCTTTTAAACTACTACAATAGTATGTCCTGCTATATTGGCTTATGGTCGAACTGTTTGTTAAAGTTTTTGAACATAATCGATTGGTTCGTCTGATGAAAGCATTTGTAAACGAAGACACATAAGACTTTTAATTGTTGATTGATGCATGAAATCAACTAATAGATGATCAGCTCATTTTTTTCTTTACAAAGTAAAGTACGAATGGATGATCACATACTAGTCCAAACATTTTCGAACTAGATTATAACAAATGGTTTTTCAGACCATTCAGTTAATATTCATTGATGAAATGTAAATGTTCAATAAGATGATTTTCCATCTAATAAATAAATAATATCTTTTGGTCCAGCCATAACAAGTTTTCTATATTGCAGATTACGTGAAAATACTTGAAGAAAAAAACCAATCAAGATTCTTTTCTTTTAAAAAGTTTAAAATTTGAGTCGCTATTGAATAATGTCCAGGATCATCAATTAAATGGACATAATCATTTTTTCCTTTGATTTTTTTGGCTTCATAATACCATTGAAATACACTTTGTCATTCATTATGATTTGTTTCCAGAAACAAAGTTGAATAATTATGAATATACGTATAACATTTTGAATTAATGTTTGCCGAATTTTATAATTAATTATTAAAAAAATAATCTTTTAATTCATTTTCACTACATGCTAATAATAAGGGTGTGGGTCTAGGGTTTACGTTTGTGTCTTAATTTGATACAAACTCACAGCCACACAGTTTTTTTTCATAGTTTCTCCTTCAATGACCATGTTCAACATATATAAACGGATATAAATTTTTTATCTAAGAAATAAATCAGCATTTAACTCAATTACATTAATAGACTTCCTCTTAAAGATTGCTCTTATGGCTTTTTATGGTTGGGATCCAGATTTTATTGCTCAATGTACTGCAAGTCGTCTTTAGAATAAAAAGCTTTATTTATTTTGTCACGTTAACATGAATCATATTTAATTAGAGTTGGGTGTAGGTGTGGTGTCTGTGTTCATCCACCTACACACTCACACCCAGGAGATTGAATCCGAACGTCTGAAATGCCATCTTAGACTGTCTCAAACGGTGAAAAAACGGCGTAATTCGTGCCCGAAGTGACAAAAATGACACCGTTTGTCACCTTTTTCCGCCAGCTCGGATTGAGGGCCGTTTTGTACCGGAACACAAACGACGTTCTTTCAGGCCGTATCGGACGTACAGTGATGTGCAGTTTTGGGAACGGAATCTGATCGTATTGTTCATGCTCACATCCTATTTTATGCCCTTCTCACACTTCCTGAGCACATTTTTTTAAGTTAATAAAAATAGTTACGATTAGAATACGGTTCAATTGTATCTAAAACCAAAATAAAAAATACTTTAATTAAAAAATGCTTACTGTGAAAATTCCATCAAATTAAGTCTAAAATTAAAATTAAAAATAAATTTTATTAAAATAGAAAAATATTTACGTATAAAATTCCACGATATGAAATCTAAAATAAAACATAAACAGTAATTTTATTCAT